ATGATAGAAGTTTGAAATGAACTCTGGGCCATTTTCTCCTCCTTATCTTAAGGGAGCTTATAGTCTAATAAGAGAGATAAATTAGACATACTTTACAATATGAGTCAAACATTGATCTTTCTGCATGGAACTTTGACATTTTATGATTTTTCCACATTAAATGTCAACCCTCCTTTGCCCCCAGCAGACTTCTGGGCTGAGAGAGGAGAGATATGGTTATCACTGTCAGGGAGTTCCCAGTCTGGGGGGTGGATATTTCATCCTTTTAATTTGCCAGTGCTGCTGCTCATGGGTCCACACTTCCTTTAGCCTTCAGTTCAATCAGTCAATCAATCAGCATTTATTAAATGTCTATTATGTGCCAGGCACTGCGCTGAGCCACGAGGATACAAAAAGAGGCAAAAGACAGTTCCCTGTCTTGTAATCTAAGGTTGATGTATGTTGTAAGAATGCATATTCATGTCTATGTTATGGACACAAGGTATAATTTAGAAGGCAGACCTACAGACAAGAGAATACAGTACAAGTGAAGTCCAGAGAGACACACTTTTTGGAATATGTGCTATTTTCAATTATTTATTTTACTCCCCCCAAAAAAAAATTGTAATAGAGAGTTGAAAATAGTACCCACCAAAATGCCTAACTCAGTACCATCACTCTTTGGCCATTTGCAGAGCCTCAAGATGGCACTCAGCCCTGGTTCATTAGCAAGCCTCGTTCAGTGACAGCCACCCCGGGCCAGAATGTCCTGATCTCCTGTGCCATTGCTGGGGACCCCTTTCCTACCGTGCAGTGGCTCCGGGACGGCCAGGTGCTCACCAAAAACTCTGGCTACTCAGAGGTGCTGCAGAATGAAGATGTGTTCACCATGGTGCTGAAGAATGTGCAGCCTTCTCATGCTGGCCAGTATGAGATCCGACTCAAGTAAGTCTCTGTCCTGGTCCCTGATCCTGCCCCATGCTCATTCTCGCACTCTCCCAACTCTAGAATACTATGGAGTTCTAAACTCGGAGAGAAAGTGTCAGACTCAGGGCTTAACATGGAGGAAGTGGTGTTCCAGGACTTTGCTAAAGGACTTTAATGATCTTGTGATTGAAAACTCTTATCTTCTGGTTTTATTTCTCCTTTTGTTTTGTCCTCTTTTTTAGGAGAGGGGATAATGAGGTGAGAAAGAGAAGGCAAGAGAGAGAAGAGAAGGGTACTTGGCCTTATTCTCTTTTCTTTTCCCACCTCAATCTCTTGGTTGCATTGGCTTTTTCATGATAGCTAGTGTTTATATAGCACGTTGAAGTTTGCATATATTACTCCATTTGATCCTCACAAGAACCCTGGAAGGTAGGGGCTATTATTATCCCCACTTTTATGCTTGAGGAAACTGAAGCTGAAGGAGCTTAAGTGACTTGCTCAGGGTCACACAGCTATAATCTGAAGCAGAATTCCAACCCAGGCCTTCCCAACTACAGGTTCCATACTCTCTATATGACTCCACTCAGCTGCCTAGCTGTGTGATCCAAAAACATGCCTGAAGTAATGAAAAAAAGCCCTGTTTCTTCAGCTCCCTGCTCTCTCTCTCTCAGGGTTGGTGGTGACAGACTGGCTGGCCCTGGATGCTTGAGGTTGGTGTGGGCATACAGAAGGGCCCTGCATGCATTGTGTTAGGCACCTGGCCTGGTTTCAGGATCCCCACTCTCCTGGACTTTTTCATTCCCACTAAGCTAAGACCTTTATTCAAAGTCCCGGGCTTAGTGTCTTCGAGAAGGGGGCAGAAGGACAGGGAAATCTAGAGGGAAGGGTAGAATGGGTATTCTGCTCTTGGAGCTTTTTTTTCAATAATAGGGGATGGTCGATATCTGGGTCCCCCAAGAAGTCCAGGGTGTGTCCCAAACACTGCTTTATAGTCTGAGTGTACAACTCATTTTTCTGTTGGCCACGCCTTCATTTTTTTTTTGAACATAAAAACAATTCTGTTTGAAAATATGTGGATGGAACTGAAAATGTTAAAGAAAATTTAATGGACACAAAAATGACCTCTATCAAAACCCTTAGAGCTAGAATGATTAACCTTTTTTAGTGTCATGGACTCTTGTGGTAGTCTGGTAAAGCCTATGGATTCCTTCTCAGAATCATGCTTTTAAATGCATAAAATAAATCACAGGATAACAAAGAAAATTGATTACATTAGAGTACAGACATCAAAATATAAAAAAGTTCAGAGACCCCCTAAGATCTTATCTGTGGACCCAACGTTAAAAATCCTTGCCTTACAGAGACGAGCCATTCCTCCCCATCCCTCGTTGGAAAACCTCTCCCTCCCTCCCCCCATCTTGAGCAATCTCAGTGACGTAGTACTGTCCTGTTTGAGCTTCCATCAAAGGGAGGAAGCTGGTGACTCCTTTTCGAGGACTATTGCTATTTTAGCAGAAAATGATCAACAGGGCCATCAGAAATTATGAATTCAATACTTCCAATGTGTATTTTCTGTTTTCAGATAATTCATCTACCTCGTCAAGAAATACCCTCTCTAAGCCTCAGTTTCCTTGATCTATAAAATGAAGTCTTGGGCTCCATGACCTTTAAGGTCATGACCAGGTCCAAATCTGTGATCCTATAAATTCTTTTTGGTATTAGTCTGAGTCCTATATAGTTAGAAAGTTATCTCCTGATTATAACAAAATCTAATTTAATAAATAAAATAAACTAAATAAGAATTTAGGGGTTATTCACACTGCTGCTTACCTTCGTTGGTATAGATAATTGAAGTTGAACCTATCTGCCTGAATAGACAAATACAGTGGGTTAATGTAAGGTGTAGCTCATGTTCTGGGATGACCATTCTGAAATGAACCCTCCCAAAAAGGGTAGATGGACTTTAAAAAAAAAATTGATTCCTTTCATTTTTATATCATATTCAATTCTAGATATATCCCTTCTTCCCTCCCATGAAAACCCTTGCTCTTAACAGAGATGAAAAAGGAAAGGGAAAAAATTAATTTGACAAAATCAGTCCATACAGCAACTGTGTCTGATAACATACACAACATTCCACGTGTTCTCCAAAAAGAGATAAGCTTTTGTCAGAAATTTTGGAAGAAGGAGAGAGCTATGATTTAGCATATGGAAGTAGGTCAGCTGCTGTGATCTTTGGGATAGGCTGAGCGAGGGTACCCAATGGTGGAGCAAAAACAAGAGTGTACAGAAAGATTGCTAACCCAGAGTAGAGGGTTTGGTATAGAGTCAGATAGGCAGGTCCAAAACAAGCTGAGGCTGGTTGTGAAGAGTTTACATTTGGTACCCTGGGAAGTCAGGGCCTTTACTGCATTGTTCTGACCCAAGCTGCCCCTGTTTCTATTTCCTTTCACCCCCAAAAAATCTACCTCTTCATCCATTCAAAAGCCCATTTATCTTGGCCCTGGCTACAGCCCAAACAGAGCAGAAGCGAGTCAGTGGAAAGTTCTCCCAGGGGATGAGTGCCAGGCCCTGGCACAGACATTGTTTTCCACTTAGGTTTGTTCTTGCTGGTGGTGATCAGTCAGACACTGAGCTGGGACAGAATGCCTTTCAAGGTGTCTAGCTGGCCTAGGAAGTGGAGCTCAGAATAGAGGTGAAGGGGGGAAAGGGGATATTCACGATGGGGTGAGAGTCATGGAACTGATCCATCCCCCTCCCCTGCCTCTGCTCCAGCTATGAGGGCATGACAGTCTATATATGTGGTGATCAAAGGGCACATTTCTTCCCCCCACATTTTCCTTCTGCACATGGTTTACGACTATTTACAGTGGTCAGGTCAAAAAGACATATCCAGAATTCAGCTGAGATATTTGAAGGATTGACCCTTGCCAATAAATTTTCATTTTAAAAATAGTTTTGCCCATATTGTTCATTCCAGAGCAAAATGATTAGTAACAAGAGTAACTCTATTTGCTTTGGATCTAGGCTTTTTGGTTAGGGTCTCTGATTTCATTGGTGTAGGGAACTCCCAGGTGTGAAAACTATTTTTACCAATGCAGGTCAACACTTTATAGTCTTAGAACGTGTCGTAGGCATTGAGAGGTTGAGAAACTTCCCTAGACTCATCATCATAGCAAGTACATGGGGGAGGCAGGACTGGAACCCTGATCTTCTTCGCTTTAAGCCTTCTCTTTTTCAACTATGGTATATAGTTTGCCCTGTGATTAGTGATACCTCTAATTTATATAGTGTTTTATGATTTAGAGAGTGCTTTTTATACAATAACTCTGAGGTAGGTGGTACAAGTATTATCATGGAGAGGCAATTTAGTATAGTGGATACTGGAAGCTGTAAATCCTCCCTCTGGAACTTACTAGCTGTGTTACTTGGGTAAGTCCCTTAACCCCTTTCAGCTTCAGTTTCCTCATCTGTGAAATGGATATAATAATATCACTTACCTCATGAGGTTATTGTGAGTCAGTCAGTTAGTAAATAAACATTATTAAGCAGGCTTATGTGTTGGGCTTGATGCTAAGCAGCGGGGATTCAGGAAAAGGCAAAAGACAGTTCCTGCCCTGGAGAAGCTCACAATCTAATGGAGTCCTTAGAGGTTTTTTAGTCCAATCTTCTTATTTTACAGATAAGGAAACTGAGGTCCAGAGAAATTAGGTGTTTTGAGAAAGATCACACAGCTATATAGATTTGAATCCAGGCCCTCCTGGTTTAGTCAGCACTCTACCTACTGCACCAGAGGTGTCAAACTTGAGGCCCCAGGAGCAAAACTCCCTACTCCTACCCCATCTAAACAGATTAAAATGTAATTGGGAATATTTAACAAAATAAATTTTAAAAAAATGTAGATAATGTTAATTTGTGGTTTCCTAAGTCAGTATGTGATGAATAGCTGGTGCAATGGATAGAGTGCTGAGCCAGAGTCAAGAAGGCTTATCCTGATCTAGTTACTGGCTGTGTGACCCTGGGCAAGTCCCTTAACCCTGTTTGCCTCAGTTTCCTCATCTGTAAAATGAGCTGGAGAAGGAAATGGCAAACTACTTCAGTATCCTTGCCAAGAAAACCCCAAATGGGGTCACAAAGAGTCCTACAGGACTGAACAACAACAAAATTTTGCATTCTGCTTCTTAGAGATTCCTTTAGGTTACCTACCTCTTCTTTTTAAAATTTTAAAAGATTAAGCTTATCTGTAATTCACACGTCATTCATATAAAAGCAATCCCAGACTTACTAATACATTGTGTTCCTCTCATTCATTAGTCAGCTTTTGGGAACTCAGAGTGAGTTTTCCCTTAGGAATGATGTTATAAATAGCATCCCTTGGCCCCTGTATCCCTTGGGCTACAAAACCTTGTTTAATCCATACTTTCTTCAGTACTTTGAGGATCAGAGCTTGGAACCATGTGGGTGTCCTCTGATCCATGCAAATTGAAACCCCTGCGCTTCTTAGCTGGTCATCTTCATGAGTTGCTGTGGCTAGAAAAGAAAAAAAAAAAGCATGCGCTAGTGGCCAACCTTCTGATGATGTGCCTTTCCAGATTTAACAAGGCTGGCCCTCAAGTGGCAGTCACTCTGTTGCCAAGACTACACTCATCCTCTTTCTGTCTTACAGTAGGACCTGCCTGCTCTTAGACCTTCCAGAGCCCAGGGTCACTTTCAAGCCAAACTGAGGCATCAGGAGGAGGGTGTTAATGGTATATTCAATCCATTAAGTAGTCAGAATTCTCCTTGAAGGCCAGGGATGGCTTTGTATTCCATCCCCTACCCCTATCTAGTACTTGATAGGGATAGGGACTAGATCTGTAAGTTCATCAGAGTAGAGCAGAGATGTCAAAGACTGGGCATGTGGCCCACAACCTTTCCACATGCTCAAGAGCCAGATTAAAATGTAGTTCCTATCTAATTTTAATGTGGGGATGTATTAATTTTTTTTAGAAAAATATATAAACATGTGTGGTTTTCTAAGTTAATATGCTACCTACAGGGATCCTCTGGTAAGCGTTAGTGGCCCCCTACGAAAGTTGGACACCACAGGTGTAGAGCATTTCCTAGGTGAAGAAACTCCCTCCATGGTACAGAAGGAGACATTTGCCTTTTGGTTATGGCCAATGAAGGAATGTTTTGCATGACTGTGTTATTTGTTATAAGAGCTTTGTTTTTCTTTTCTTCTTTTCAATGGGGATGAGGGAGGAGGTGGGAGGGAGCAAAAACAGATGTTTTATTCATTGAAAAAAATCAAATTGAACTTAAAAAAAGAAATGAATCTCCTTCCGCAGGCCAGCATCTTCTCTGTAACTTAAAGTCTTAGAAAATTGCCTAGATAACTGAGAGGTTAAGTGTTTTGCACAGAGTCCTACAGTAGGGATATGCCCAAGGCAAAATTAATCAACTCAATATATTGCCCATACCATTTCTTATATCAGGCCTTTAAATGTTTGTTGAATAGTTGGATTGAGTGCTTGGTAATTGAAATAGTATATTAATAAAAGCCCTAAACAGCCCCCAAGGTCTTTGGGGGAGGGCAAGAGCCCCAAGCTTTGAGTCCTAATGAGCTCCTCTTAGTCCCCGCTAAATTGATCTTCCTGACGTCCCCTTGACTATAGCCCAAGAAAGGCGCCTGACCTTTGTGGTGCCCGAGTGAGAATGAGAAAGCCAGGTAGTGGTTGGCATCATGAGTTAGGATGGTTCTGGTATTGGCAGTTCTGGTAGTGAGGGTGGGGCTGAGCAGAGGTTCTGAGGACCCAAGTTCCTTAGGTGGCGTAATGGGGACAGGGGTTTTGACAGCAGTGGGGCAGTATAATAATGCCTATTCCTATGTATGAATGGTTCATAAATTAAGTTAATAAACCAAGACACACACCCCCTACTATCCTTGGAAGAGGTAGATGAGCTACTTCAGAAGGAAAGGTCTAGGATACTGGATGTCTGAGGGGTAAGGTCCCCCCAACTTGGGGACCATGGAAAGTCATCTCACAGTTTGCCAATCCTTGGTGAAGTGCATTTAATCTGTTCTCTAAGAGTCTAGAGCCTGGGGACCTTAAAAGGTTTCTGGCTTGGTGGTTCGGCAGATTTGCTCTGAAATCTTAAGCCCCTCTAGATTTTCCTTCTCTAGCCACACAATATGAAGAGTTAGCCCTGTCTCAAATACTGGGGATCCTGCCTCATGAGCTGGGCAGGTTATGGCTGCCCAACTCCCTCAGTGTTTCCCCTTCCCTTAAATCTCACTGTCCTTATCCCCAGCTCTTATCATAGTGCCTGGAACCTAGTAGGCACTTAATAAACGCTTACCTCCTAACAGACTGTCAGAAGGAAAGAATTGCAATTGAGAATAGAGCAGTGAAGGATCCATATGCATTTACCTGTGTACCCGCATGCCGAAATCCATTCTTAAAATATACACCTGCTACAAATAGACCTTGACAAACATATATTTGAAGGTGGGTTTACAAATAGATCAGATCTGTGTCTATGCATGCAATGGATGCTCACTTACTTCTCCTGTGAAGTCTTACTTATGCTCTTGGTCACGTCTCTGCATCGTCCCCATCACCCTTACCAGTCACTCCACAGAGTCTTTTGGCTGGTCAGGACTTGAAGACCCCATCAGCTTGCAAAGCTCTGCGGAGAAAGGCAGACAACTTGTTAACAAGAATCTTCTATTCATGAAAACCCCAGTTTGGTATAATGCTGGCCCATTCCTCTGCCTCTCCCCCTAACGCCTGCACTGGCTTTCTCACCCTTCCTCCCTGCTTTTGAGAACAGGAGACAGGCTATCTACAGGTACCATAAGTTAATGGCATTTCTAATGGGTGTCATTGAAAGGGAACATGGAGAAAATTTCCTCTGAAGAGAAAAGAATAAAAACTACTGTGACTTAAAGTGATGCTTGAGTAGCAGGTAGACAGGAGATGGAAAAAGTGTTTAACTTCATGAGTTGGGAAAGTTTTGGATGTGGTGGGAGACAGCAAGGAATTGAATTCTCTGAAATAAAAGAACATGGGAACATTCAGAGTAAAGAGTTAGCCAGAAGGACCAAATCACCTAGTCAGAATTCTTGCCTTCTCATCCTTTTGTTCTGCATGTTAAGAGAACTTGACGGGGATTCAGACAGCTTGGTTCTAGTCTCATCTGCCATGAAGTCATTATGTGGCCTTGGACAAATCTTGGTCTCAGTTTTCTCAGCTGAAAACTGGAGATTTTGAATCGTAAAGGTCACCTCCACCTCTGACATTCATGCTGTTGCTGAAAGAAGTATGGGGCATATCTTGAAGTGGGACTAGAGCTCATTAGCCTTCCAAAACACTACTTCCCACAAGTGAAGCCTCACATCACCCCGACCGTTCCTGACATCTTCACAGGGGAGCCTGGGACAGAGGATCCACATGCTGTACCCCACAGACAGCCTAGGGAAGGGGGACGCTTGGAGGCCAGGAACCCTTTAACCTAGGGATATGCTTTGAAATCTTCAGGAACCGGGTGGGCGAGTGCAGCTGCCAGGTGTTCCTGATGCTTCAAGAGGGCCCTTCTGGGGCCCTGGGAGAGGCCATCCCCATTCAACTGTAAGTATTCCTCCCTGGGAACTGGCCAGGGTCAGGTTTTCTTTTCTCCTTTCCTGCTTTCTGGTTCTCACTCCTGCCCTCCCAGATCCTGCCTTGGCAGCCACTCAACCCAGTCCCCTCAGATGTGGCCCTACAGATTGCTTGCATCTTCCAGCTGAAGCTGCTGGAACAGAGAAGGAGAGATTGGAAAAGAGAATAAGGGAGGGTGAAGGGGGGTGAATATTTTTTTTTTTGCACACACCCTTATATGGCTACTGAAGTCATTACCGATGCAATAAAGCAACTAGGCAGGCGAGTTCCTCTCACCAACGTTCCCTTCTATAAACACAGCCAGGCCGGCCCCATCCTTCTTCTCTCCCCCCCTCCCACCCTCAGGGATTTGCTCTCCCCTGACGTTTTTTTTTTTCTTAACCAGCCCCTTTTCCTCCTGCTACTTTTCTTTTTTTCCTTCATTGGTTGTAGGAGGAAGGAGCCTGCCAGCTGTGAAGGACTCACCAGAGGAGGAGGAGGCATTGGCAGTGGTAGTGGCCATCATGGAACACTAAGACCCCTGGGCCTGGGGAGCAGGCTGAGCTGGAGACCTGAAGAGGAGGGTGAGGACGTGCGGGGGGTGCTGAAGAGGCGAGTGGAGACCAGGGAGCACACAGAGGACCGACTTCGACAGCAGGAAGTGGAACAGCTGGACTTCCGAGACCTCCTGGGGAAGAAGGTGTGCACCAAGACTCTGTCAGAAGAAGAGCTGAAGGAGATCCCAGCAGAGCAGATGGATTTCCGCGCCAACTTGCAGCGGCAAGTGAAGCCAAAAACATTATCAGAGGAGGAGAGGAAGGTGCATAGCCCCCAGCAGGTTGACTTCCGCTCCGTGTTAGCCAAGAAGGGGGGTCCTAAGGCCCCTGTACTGGAGAAGGCAGCACTTCCCAAACCAGCTGCCCCAGATTTTCGTTCTGTGCTTGGCAACAAAAAGAAGTTACCTGCAGAGAATGGCAGTGCCAACACCGAATCCCTGAATGCCAAAGTAGGAGAGAATGCCAAGCTGGTTGAGAACACCAGACTGATAGGCAATGCCAAGTTACCTGAAGCCCAGAAGCCTGTTGGGGATGCCAAGTTAGCTGATACCCAAAGATCCATTGGGAGTGCCACCCCAGCCGAAACCAAGAAACCTGTGGGGAACACTCAGCCAGTGGGACCCCCAAAACAAGTAGGGAAAGAGGAGCTTAAGAATGAGGTCGTCAATGATGTGAACTGTAAACGGGCCTGTACAGGAGCTTTACACAGTGATAAGAGTGCAGAAAGGAAAGGGAGCCCCCCGAGCTTCACAGAGAAACTCCAGGACTTACGTGTGGCGGAGGGTAAAAAACTTTTCCTTCAATGCCAGGTTGTATCTGAGCCCCCAGCCACCATTACTTGGACACTGAATGGCAAGACCCTCAAGACCACCAAATTCATCACCCTTGCCCAGGAAGGTAAATAGGGATGCTGGGGGGAGGATGGAGGAGAAGGTCACCTAGAGGGCCAATCTCAGATCTTTCTGTGTGCCCTAAGAAAACTTTGGCCTATCGGTCATTGCCATAGGGGAAGTTACCAGCAGGCTGCAGACCATAATCTCCATGATGCTAGGGGCCCCAGGAAGAGTTTTGAGGCAATTATTGCTATGCCCCTTCACCCCTGGAAAAATGCAAACAGTAGAGGTCACCTCTAAGGAACCCTGGCACGTATTTTGTTGTGCCAAGGGCGAGGTGGATGGCAGGACCTCCCGGCTCTGGCATTGTGCTCACGTTGTGGTTGGCAGGTTCTTCTCCCATCACCCGCTATGGTCACCACAAAGTAGACGTGCCCTCCGTCCTACCATCAAGACCTGTTGACTGATGCTCGGGATAAGGGCTGTGTTGTTAGCTGAAGTGTTTAGGGTATTATGAGTTTGGGAGATACGTAGTGGACTAAGGCAGTAGTGGCCACTGGGGAGCAGGAGAGGGTGTTGTTGTACAGACAGAGTTGTGTGCTTGAGTTAATAGCAGCTTAGGTCATAACACTGTGGGCCTCAGAGTGCGTGGCTTTGGGCAGGGGTGGGGGAGACAGAGGGGGTTGATGGGGGCAATGCCTGCACAGGTCCTTGTGTGTCTGTGGTATTGTGGGTTTGGGGGAGGGGTGAATGAATAGAAGATCCAAAATACCCCTCCGGCATACACAGAGGCAGGCAGCATTGCTTCCTAATTTGGATGAGACATTTGTTTGCTGGTATTTCACATTCTTAAATGGTGGGGAAAAGGCGATGGAGCTGTGTGTGTGTCTTGCTGTCTGTCCCCTTCTGATGTGTGAGGAGAGGAAGAGAGGGAGGAGGATGCTGGTATTATGCTCTTTACACCTGAAAAAGTGAAAGGAGGTGGGAGAGATGGTGTCCTCAGACCTTCAGTTTGGACTGGGAGCATTTTGTTCAGTCCAGAACCTGGGAGAAAAAGAGAAAAGAGAACGGAGACAAACAGGACTCCCAGCACCCCACTCTGGCAGTTGTCAGAGGAACAGACCACCAGGGTCCTCGAACAGCAATCCTGGGGCTGAGGCTGGGGCTGAGGCTGGGGCTGAGGCTGGGCTGTTCCTGGCAGTGGGGAGAGTCACATTCTTCTCTGTCGGTTGGATAAGGAGCACAAGGGAGGGGAATCCACATGAGAAATTGGCCCTAGGTCCTGGTCAAGGCTAAGGAAATAGAAAATTCCCTTCACCACATATATTTCTTCCTTGTTCAGTGATCGCACTCTGCCTCCAGCTGCCTCCGTTCTCTCCCTGTCCCTCCCTTACCCCTCAGCATTCCTCCTTACCTATTAAAACCTGGGAACAGGGCACTGAACGAGGGAAGCCACCATACCCAGCTCTGTGTCCTTACAATGCAAGGCAAGGCTGGATTTCCTTTGCTTGCTCTGTTCTTCAAACCACAAACCTTGGCATCCAGATGCTTTGAGTGGCAGAGAGGAGAATAGTTTATTTTTCAATCACCATTGATAATACTGACTCGGTTGCTTCTTTACTTTGGTATCCCTAGATTGGCAGGATCCTCCAGAGAGCTTCTTATTCACCGCCCCTCTTACACACACCCCTGCTTCCTCCCAAGCCTAGACATATTCTACAGGATAGTGAGTGGATTCTACAGCCTTCCTCACTTACCCACTCTGGAGACCTGATAGTCCTCACCATTGGAAAGCCCTTTGCATCAGGTCTAACCCAAATCTTCCCTCCTGCCTTGGCACACTAGCCGTTCTGTTATCTCCAAAGAGGGACAGTCACACCCTTCTGTCAGGTGAAGTCATCCAGGTCTGTACAATGTAATGTCCTTTAGCTGTATTAGCCCTAGGAAAACTGAGGCATGGGATGACTAGAGTGGATTGCCCGAGAGAACCTAGCTGATCTGGGGTCACGAGGGCTGCTAGACAAAAAATTCCATGATGGCAGTGTCTACGTCATATGTAAATTTTGTGTTTTCCTCGGTTCCTAGCACACACTTCAGACACAGTAAGCCCCTTTGTGGAAGTGAATTTGCTTAAACTAAGCATTGCCTAAAACCATGGAAAAATCAGATGTTATTAACTATGCCCAAGCTCTTCTAATTACTTTTAAGTGCAAAGTAAAATTTTACCCCCATGTAAAAAAAGCCTAATCCAAAAAAGTGCCTAAATTGTAAATGCAAGCATGAATTGCTTTGAATGGATGTTTGCCTTTGATAGACCCTGTTAGAAAGCTCAGATTGTGGAAGAGCCATTCTTAAGAGAGGGCCCAAAAGGGGGGAAAAGTCAGTGCAAGTTAGGGGGTCAGGGAAGAGAGAGAGAGACTGGCCAACTCAGAGCAGACCCCGGGCAAGCTCTATCATTTTGAGTCTCAGTGTCCTCATCATTCAAGTGAAAGCCTTGGATTGGCTCAGATTCTTACCTTGGGGTCCATGAATTTGTTCTTAAATTTTTTTGATAACTGCATTTCTATATACTTCATTCTCTTTGTAATCCTATGTATTTTATTTTACACACTTAAAAGCAATATTCTGAGAAGAGGACTATAGCTTCACCAGACTGCCAACAAGGCCTATGATCCAGAAAAGATTAAGAACCCATAGCCTGGATGATGCTACCTAGGTACCTGCCTTTCCTGGCCAAACATTTTATGTGTCTAGGGGAACTGGGCAGATGAATGGGCCATAATAGATGGAGTGCCACTTAAGATATCTACCTCATCAGTTCATAGTCACAGTCATTTCAGACCTAGAATAGAACTTATCAGTTATCTAGCCTAACCACCTGGTTTTACATATGAGGAAACTGAGGCCCAGAAAAGTGAAGTAAATCAATAATCAGTCAGTAGACATTTATTAAGCACCTACTATGTGCCAGGCACTGTGCTGAGTGATAGAAATAGTAAAAGAGGCAAAAGAGAATTTGTGCCTTCAAGGAGCTCACAAGTAGTGGAGTGGTTGATCTAAGGTCACACAGCCAGTTAGGGCTGTGTTTGCCAGCATTGTTTCTGATGATGTGCCTGCAAGGGCACTTGTCCGTCATCTGGTGAGTAGAGAAGAGGAGAGAGACAAACCATCTCAAGCAATGTTCTAGTTAGCACCGACTTGAAGAACGGTCATATAGCTTCAATCACTGCCCTTGTTAGTTATGCCTCAAGCAAACAAAGCTGGGCAGAATCGCTATTGTTGTAGACAGCTGGGAGTGTCCTGAGTCTACCATTTACTACCTGTGATTTTGGCCAAGTCACTTAATTTCCCTGTGCCTGAGTTTCCTCATCTGTGAAATGTGGTGGTTGGCCTAGACGGTCCTTAATGACCCTCCTAACTCCAAAGCTATGATACTGTGATTTTTCTCACTGGATTAGAGTCTGGATCTAGCTAGGAATCGATGTAAAATTTAATGAGGAATT